CTTTAGTGTTGTAAAGTGTACAAAACTATGTGGGGAAAAGTGCATAAGAAATAAATATATGTTGCCTGGAAATAATCATTTAAATCGTATTTCTGTAGAGTTCGAGTTGAGATTTCAATTTTCAGTGTTGTAAAATCCACGAAAATAATATTGGTCGAATGAGAATGTCTACAATTATGCTGGCTTTGACTAATCTAATCTAAAACAGTGTTGTAAAACCGTTTCAAATTAACATTCAATTGTCAAATAGAGCTAAAAACCTTGCTTAATTTCCATTTGTTTCTTTAGCTGTTTACGCTTATTATACCCTATATCTGTTAACTTTTTCCAGCAGTGCATGCAAAGTTTTTAACGCTGGAAACGAATTGCCATGCGCCCCAGTAAAAGTTTTCCCTTGAGTTCACTTAACTACTTCCTTCTGCCTGACAACACAAAACTGAAGCACACTTCAATTCAATTTCAAGCTCGCTTCTCTTGCTGCTGCTGCTGCTGTTGCTGCTGCTGTTGCTGTTGTGGCGCCAAATGCTTGCAGCTCCCTAAGCCTTTCGTTTCCTTTAGCCCGAAAAATCGTGGGGAACTACTTCAGAATGAAATAGTTGAAGAAAATTGCCAGCTAAAGTTGCCAAGTTTCATTCCCTCTGCATTTTCAGTGCTTTACACAGTTGCCGCTTGCATTTTTCCCATCTTTTGCCTCTCGTTGCTTGCTGTGGTGTGGGTTGCTGCTGGCAACAGCAACGGCAGCAACGGCAACGGCAGCAGCAGCAGCAGCCGCCACTAAGTTTTTGCCACTTCAAAAATGTGTAGCTGAAATTGTTGCTGGTTTGGGGGCTCGAGAAGTTATACAAAATGTTGGCAGCAACATTGTTGACTGTCTGCATTTGTCGCTGCTGCAGCAACAGCAACTGCCAAATGTTTGGCTACGCCCACGCGACGCCTGACATGCGACTGCAGCAGCAGCAGCAGCTGAAGGAGGAGGAGGAGCAGGAGCAGCAGCAACAGCAACATCTTTTTGGCTGCTGCTGCTTAATTTGATTTTCACAACTTGGCGACGGCAGCAACTGTTGTTGGTGTTGTTGCTGCTGCTGCTGATTTGCATATATTTAAACGTGGCTGAAGTTCCAGCCAAAAAGTTTTACTGTGGGCGTCAACTGATTGGAAGACGCAGGGCTCAAGTAAAAGGCAAATGTTGCTGCTGCAGACAAAAAGGCAGATAGAGAGAGAAAGAGAGACAGCGAAGCAGGGAGACTGTCAGGCAGCAGCAGTAAACCTTCATTAGAGTGGATCTGCAGTGCTAGCTTTAGTTTGCCATATACATATATATATATATACATATGTATCTCTGGCAGCAGCTCGCAACAGTTTCACAGTCACAAAGTATTTGCTTATGCATAGCTACATGCAGCGCATTGCCTATTGATGTTTTGCTTTTGTTCTTGCTGCTCTGTGTGCTCTCAGGCGTGTTTTAGTAGATACGCAGACAATCCATACACCCACACACACACACATATACGAGCAACTGCTGCTCACACTCGAGCACCTCGAAGCATTAGGCTAAAGTCTTTGCACAAAACTTTGACTCTCATCAGCCACCCACACAAGCACCTGAAATAATCCCCAAATCCCTTTGACACATGTCTGCTCTGCCTAGCTCTATCTCAGTCTCTCTCTCTCTTTCTCTCTTCCTATCTTTCTATCTCTCTCTGTGTGTGTGTGTGTGTCTCCGTCTGCCTTAGCTCATTTAATTATTCAGCATAGTTTTGTGCTTTTAATTAACGAAATGCAGTGCAGCAATGCGTAAAAGTTTTCGACAGGCTGAGCCGAAAAAACGTTCAAGAGATGAAGAACATTTCTCGAAAACCGTTAAGCAAGATTTAATGATAAATTATTTTCGGAATGAAAGCCAGAGACTAGAAATGTGGTTTGGTTTATTCTAATGGAATGAATATATGAGATTTGAGATTTATTTATTTTGATATAATTGCTTTATATTAAATTGATGTAAATTCTTTAAATCTATATAAACTTATATAAATATTTAAAATTATATACATATAAAATGTAAAATGTTATGTGTACAACATATAATTTAACATTAAACATTCATACTTGGCATTTATTTTCATTAAATTTTTAATATTTGTATTCATTGGGTTTAATTTTCTCTGCAAATATTTGTCATAAAGATGTTAGACTTCAGCCTCTGCGCTTACTTTACGTTTTAACATTAACTTAACAGGTAATGTTGTGGTGTTTTCTGTTCTGTTCACCTTTAACAGACATAAATAAGCTAGAACATTCTATCATATATGCTGTTGCTCTCCTTTAAGATCTCTGGATTGATATATGTAACATATGTTACTCTTAATGTTAACACAGCTTTTACTGGAACTATTTATGCTAATCGTACTATTACATTCTTCACTATTACATTCTGTTAAGCCAATGTCTTTTATATCTCATATCCCTAACTCTGACATAATTTAACATTATGTTAATATTACAATTGTTATTCTGCTCACTCTTAGCATGAGCTTAACTGTAACTTAACTTTCTGTATGACAGCTCACTTACATTCTCCTTTAGGATTATCATATGCTGTTATCATTTCAATTACTCAACATTTGCCATCACAATCTGCACATGCCTCAAGCCCTAAGCCATCCACAATTAAAATTTGGTTACTAATTTGACAAATTATTTCAGCTTGATACTTTGTGTAACTGTTGTCTGTTGTCTCATTTTGAGGCTGGCTTACATGACAGTCAGTCTGCATTATAAGACAGCTCTAATTATGTGTGTGTGTGTGTGTGTGCACGTATTTGCCTCCCTTGCTCTGTGTGTGCCTGAGTTCAAAAATACTTTTCGTTAATTTGAGCTTGACATGCAATGTCATTTAGCTTGTGGTTGTTGTTGTTGTTGTTGCTGTGGCTGTTGTACATAAATTATATAGAAACCTCAAAGGGAATTTGGAAAATATTTCACGCACAGGTTAATTAGTTTCGTATACCACAATATGATTGCCGGGGGAAGCTTTGGACATGTCAGTTAATTTGAACTTTAACTTGGGTTATTTGTAGCATAAGGAAATTGAAGAGGCGTTCTCTTCTTTAATAATTTATGAAAAATAAAATTTTGTGAACTTGATATATATTGAGCAAAGAATTGTGACCAATTCTCAGTTGGTATGCAGGCTTATATATACATTTTTCTCCAAGTATATACCTTATTAATTCCCTTAACTCAATAGCTTTCTGACTTAAGCTCTAACTTTGAGACTTGCCAAGCTTAAGACAATTAGTTAATTAACCTCTTTTTTATCTATCATATCAAAAATTTCGAATATTTCTAAGCAAAAGACTTAATATATTTCTACAGTTGATTGGAAGTTAAGCTCCTGCCTGAAGCCCCCATTAAGCTCGATATCTAGAGGTCTATATGGCATTATGTTCGACTTTTCGTATAGATAGCTGCTGCACTGTTATCAAATTTCAATTTCAGCCTTATCAGCTTGCAAGTCTCTAGAGAATTAATTGTTAGATAACTAATTGCCTGCTTTATCTATATAATATATTTGTAATTCCCTTAGTTATTATCTGTGGGAATTATGGATTTCACCTAAGCACTGTGTCTACATATTTGTATATGTATAAAGGACACATTATTGACTGCCTTAAGTATAGATAGCGCCGGCTTGTTGGCATTTAAGTCCAGTTAAGCAACTATCGAATGTTTGTGGAATTTTTATCTATCGGAAGTTTAAAGAATGTTTGTCTATAAGGAATCTTCTTGTATATATTTTATATAGTACATATACAGTACAGTACATTGAGGACCGTACAGACGCATTCTACGGTACGTATCTTACGCTTCTGCCTCTAGTCTCTACTCAGTTCTATTTCCACTCTACAATAGATCCGCCGTTTCTGACTTTCCCCATCCACTTGACGTTCGCCATTTGGCGTTTCTCTATAGAATTATCTAACCATTGTTTGTTTACTTCGCTTTACAGTCTGATAATGTCTGGCCATTGGTTTGGTTTGTTTGCCATTTTCATTTCGCTACGTTCGATATGATTAAAGTGCGTGGCACGCGTGTGGCTTTGCCGTACAAGATTGCCGGCCTTTCGACATTGTCTGCCCGGCTCTGCCCGGCTCTGCTCGACTCTGCTTGCACATGCCGGGCACGATTGCAACATCACGCCTACCTCCGCCAACTGCTCTGTGGTCTTTTTGCTACAATGGCGAGGGATGAAGCGAGGTGCGATTGTTATTGTTGCTGTTGTTGTTGTTGCTATCGTCGTCAGTGGCACTCGTCACGTTTCATTTGTGTCGCCACGCGTGCGTTTATTTAACCACTTTAACCTGGAACATGCACACAATGTGAAATTGTGGGGTTGTGCTAGAGCTGGCAAAGGGCGTCACAGCGTCTGGCCCTCGCCCATGCCCAATGCCCATTATATTACACTTAAACTTCATTATGGAGCCCCAGAGCAAAGCAGCACCCTCTCATGGCTGTGTGTGTGTATGTGTGTGTGTGTGCGTCACTCTGTTGATTCATAAAAATTTAATTTCTCTGGCAGTCTGTCGACCGCAGTACACGAGTACACACACACACCGACACACACCGACACACACCGACACACACCGTTTCCTGCTATGATTTGGCAAAACTCTCTTTGCCCCTCATGTCGAATGACTTTATTAAAATTGACATTTAATTTATGCGCTGTGCATAATTTAAGCGCAAATTTCCTACACGAAAAAAGTTTATATATGTGTATGTATGTGTATATATATATATTTATGCCAGAAGAATTGGAGAGCAAATGTGGCAGTCGGCAGGAGGATAACGTCGTTGACAACGTCGCTGCTGAAATCCTGACAAAGTCGCGTTGTAGAAACAAAAGCGTTTGGAACATGCCAGCTAAGGTTCCATTTTCCTGTGGCACAAACAATAAACACAGCTAAAGCAACAGCAGCAAAAGCAACAACAACAACAACAACAACAACAACGCTCAACTTCTAGAGTAAAGTGCGGGGTTACGCTTTGTTTGCTGCTGTCGCTGCGACACTGCGACAAAATCAACGTCAGTGGCCAAAGAGGGTGAGCGTTGGTCTGGTGGGTGTTTTGGGTGTATACACACACACACACACACACACACATACATACATGCATATCTCGGTATGCGTGCCACCGCCGCAGGAAGCGCCACACAAGCTGGCAGGATATTTTATATAAGGCAGAGACAGCCGCAGTAGCTGAAGCAGACGAGAGGCTCGCGGGGTTTGGTGGCTCGCTCGCTGCCATTGTAAATTCCAGCTGCCATGGCACGTTACGTTTCGCATACACATGCTGCACGTTCCTGCTCTCGTACCGGATGTGCCATGTATATAGGAGCTGTGAACGCGAGCATAAAACAAAAGCAAAACACAAAAAAACGCAAAATGAAATGAGAATGAAAAAAAAAAATACTTGGCCCTGGGTCGAGGCAGCCAGTGCTGTCATGCTGTGAGCGCTGAGCAGCGGTTAGGGTTTTGGGTTCGGCTTTGGTCTGGGTTTGTGTTTGGGTTTTTAGCAGTTAGTCTGGCGGATAGGCAGGCAGGAGGCGGACGGCCAGTCGAGCATTCAGCAGAACGCAGCAGGATGTGTGCCCTGTGCTGTGGTTGAGCTGCCCTGTCCTGTGCCGTCCTCTGCTGTCCTATGCTGTCCTGTGCTGTCCTGTGCTGTCCTGTGCTGTCCTGTGCTGTCCTGGTGCTATCCACACACACAAAAAAAAAAACGGCACCTTGCGACAAGAGCTTGAAAAACTGTTAACAAATTGCATTTTTTGGTTGAGCTAGAGTTAATTAAGGTAAATTGTGAGATGAGAAAAACGTAGGTAGGAAATGTGAAAACAAATTTCAAGAAAATACTTTCAAATAAATGCAGTTTTATAATGCTTTAAAGAATAATAAAAATTCAAAATATAATACATTAAAAATAAATAAATAAATATATAATAAAAAAAATAAAATATATATATAAATATATAATAAAAAATAAAACAAAAATTAATAAATATGTAATCAAAATAAAATAAATTAATAAATATATAATAAAAATATAAATATATAATAAAAAATAAAACAAAAATTAATAAATATGTAAAAAAAAAAACAAAATAGATTAATAAATATATATAAAAAAAATAAAAAAAATATAATAAAAATACAATAAATTAATAAATATATAATAAAAATAAAATAAAATTAAATTAAATAATAATAACAATAAATTTAAAAAAAAATACAATGAAAAAAAATCTTATTAAAATTTTTTTCTGAATAAATAAATTACAAGTCTTGATCGTAAGAACATCATTTATAATTTATTTTTTTATTTATAATAAATTTTATGAATAACATTACATATTGATTGATTGATTTCATAAAACCTGTATACATTGTTAATTTTATGAATATAATATAGTAAAAAAAATATTGCAAAATGTTTTTAAATAATAAATAATAATATTGTGCAATAAAATGTATGAGCACATAGTAATATACTATATATAAAAATTATCTTACAACAATATATTTTTATGGTCTCATCTCTGTGAGCAAAATATACGGAACTGCTTATAAACACATCTTATATATATATTTGTATACAAATATTGTTTTTATTTGCGTATAACGGCACCACTGTGCCGCTCCCTACGTTCCGCGTGTGTGTGTTCTTTCCTTCCAGCTGCCTTCCGGCTTCCTGTGCTAAGCGCTTGCCACCTACACAGTAACAACCGCACACACACACTCACACACACACTCTCTCTCGCGCACAGCAGCAGGAGAAGAGCATATATGTCGTATACGTAATGCCTGATAAAATGCGCGAATAAAACCAGCTTCAGTTTGTACGTTTATTTGTTTGTTTGCATGTTTGCTTATTTGCAGCTGTGTGCGTGTGTGTGTCTGGCTTTGGCTGACAAGTCAAGCGGCAAATCAGCTTTAATATGACGTTGTTAGCGAACTCCTGCTCCAGCTACTGCTGCTACTCCTGCTACTGCTGCTACTCCTGCTGCTGTTGCTGTTTCTGCTTCAGCTGCTTCTTTATGTTGATCTTTCTTTAATTATGCGCATATTGCAAATTAACAATCACATTTTTAATTCAATTTGACTGACCAGGATGAAAGACGACAGTGGGGCAAATTGTGTGTATTTAAAATTAAATGTTTGCTTTCCATTTTATGTGCTGCTGCTTTTGTCAGTTTGTCCTTTTTTTTCCAGCTTCTTCTTCGGCTTCTTCTTTTTATTCCAACTCAATTAGGTTGCCAGTTGACTGTTGTTGTTGTCATGGTTGTTGCTCTTGTTGTTGTTATTGTTTATCTATTATATACACATTTTCCACCCTCGCTCGCTCTCTTGACCTTTTTGTCCAGCTTTTGTTGTAATTTTAATTAGTGCGCCTTTTATGTTTGTTTCTTCTTTTTTTTCCTGCTGCTGCTAATGACGACGACGACCCATTTCAATTTCTTTTAACAAAAAATACCTAATAATCATAATGCTGATGATGATGATGATGATGTTGCCAGTGCTGTTGCTGTTAATGATGTGGGCGTTCAGGCCGGCCCCGCCCACATTTTGCCTCAGTCCAGTTAATTATAGCGTCGCAGCTCAGTTAAAATTAATACAACATTTTCTCACTCCATTTTTCTCTCCCTCCCCCCCATTCACAGTTGAATTCTTCCACCGAGTTCCTTCAACTGTAACTGCCGCCGCAATTGGCAGCTTGTAGCTGCTCTTATTATTAATTTTTTTTTTTTTTTTTTTTTTTTTGCATTGCGGCTGAAGCGGCGAAGTGGATGGGTTTGGTGGGAAGCTATGTAACATGCAGAGGCAGGAAATGATGAGATTAGCTGAGAGAATATCTTGGAGATAAGAATAGCTTGGAGATTATTATAGAGCTGAGATTATGGGTATGAATATTTTATGGGAAAGGCGTTAAGATATATAAAGCGGCGGCTTGTAGAATGTAGAAATGTAGGAGTGTAGGGTATTTCCCAGTCGAACACAACTCATTGCAGCCCTATTATACCAAGCTGGGACTCCTTCACAATCTTCCACTGCATTCTTAATGAAAAGATGTACGAAAATCTGTAAAATTCTAGTATATCATAGATCTTTAAGGATCTTTAAGATGTAGATAAAGTTGAAATGCTGTGAGCAAAATCTTGTTGGGTGTTCAGTGATTTATGTAGGGTTCATATATGAGTTTATCAATGAAAGAAATCAAAAATAAATTATTATATACAGCTATCTACTTAATATTCTATATATATTCTATATCTTTAAAATTCACTTCCATCTTAAGTAAACCTTTAAGTAAAATTCGCTACCTTTAACATTTCCTACTCTAGGATATCCGCCAGTCATGCACTCCACTTAATGGAATTCTCCCCTTTAAGCTCGTTTAGGTGTCGTCCCATGGAATCGCTGCTGTTGCTGCTGCTGCTGCTGCTGCTGTGCCACGCCCCATACGAACAGCAACAGCAACAGCAACTGCCGCAACAGCAGCTCCCTCACGCGATTTTAATGACACGGCACTTAAAATTTAATCGAGTAAACTGCATTGGCAGCAGCCAGTGTAGGCCCCCACAGCGCCCCACAGTGCGGATGCCCTCGCTTTCGCTTTGTTTTATCGGCTGCTCGTTGTGTTTGCATTGATTATTGTTTTCATGCATATTTCATTTATGCTGCTGTTGCGGGTTTGCCGCTCGCTGCTTGCTGTACGTTAATTGCCAGCAATACAAACACGTTGACCATCACTGCAAATGTGCATATAGTTTATGATACCCTGTAAAGCCAGTTGCAGTTTTAAGTGTCCGCTGTAGCTGGCAGCAGTTTGGCATTTATTGTGAGTAATATGCTAATTGAGTGCATAATTTATGAATGATTTATGTACTAGTTGTGGATACCCTAGAATGTTTTTGGGGTGGGCATAGGGAGCTTGCTAACATCAATTAGAATGTGAAACTTGCATTGCTCTGTTATTAACAGTTTTGTCTTAACATTTCTTCAGTTAGCTTCAGGATTATGAGAAACTCTGAGTCTATTTTGAAAGTATATATTTAAATATGGATTAATGTTGTATAGCATTTAGAGCTTACATATAATAGTTAAAATTGACTTGCTAGCGCTCTGTTATTAACATTACAATACTATGTTACCTGAGAAACCCTGAGTGTATTTTGAGAATATATATTTACACATAGATTTCTATTGCACAGCATTTACAGCTTACATATATTGCTTAACATTGACTTGCTAGCGCTCTGTTATTAACATTACATTACTATGTTGACTGCCTTTACGCGCAACCTTAAATAGGTGCATTTTACTCTCGTGTGTGCCACGTAACATTGACTTAACAGCACTCCAGCATTATTAACATATTATGTTAACATTAACAGTACAGATTATAGCTCGAGTTGAGTCTATGACTTTGACTCCTTCGCCTCTCTCTTTGCTCACGCCCACAACTTTACGGGCTTACAGGGTATAGCCAAGGTCTAGCACTCTCTCTTCATCAGTTTTTTTCTTATTAGCTTTTTTTTGTGGGCTGACTGGCTGGCTGGCTGGCTGGGTCTTTCAGGACATGCGGCCAGACAGAGGCGGCAACTTTGGCACGCAACGCAAAGCCGCAGGAGGCGGTCAGCGAAATGGATAAACACACACACACACACACACACGCACACACACCAAATGCATAAATTATGCATGCACATATATATATATATGTCTGTTGTCTACGTGCGTGCAAATGGGCGTGTCTGGCTGCCCACAATTTGAGGTGAGGCAAAATTGAGCAGGCTTAAATGTTATTGCTATTGTTGTTGTTGTTGTAGCCAAGTTGAATGCATTTTGGGCGCCCATTGTTTGACAACAACAGCAACAGCAACAACAACTGCCATGAACAAAGTGAAAAAAAAAAAAACAATTCATTATTCAGTTGATTTTTTTGCTCTCTCTCTCTCTTTCCCTCGATTGCATTTCATGCACCGCCAAGCACAAAACAGCTAGCAAAATGTGCAAAAGCAACAAAAACAGCGGCAACAACAACAACTACAACAACAAGCAAATACAACAACAACGAAAATTAATAAATGAAAGCAAAATTTTAATGACATTCATAAATTTCAATTGCTCGCCCGCTATCTGAGCTCTTCCCCAAGCCCCCACTTTAATTGTTTATTGAAACGCTTGACATTAATTAACAGCATATAAATAAAATTGCAGCTAGCCATTGGCTAACGTTCAAGCCCCGTCAAAGTATAATAACAATATTTAAAAAATAATAATAAATAGCTAGCGAGAAAAAATTATAATGTGTTCATAAATTATGCGCATTGCATTAATGGTGAAAAATGTGGGAGTGTAAGCGACTGCAGCATGCTCGCTCGAGAGTTGTAAAGGGAACTAAATTTGTAGACAATGAATTAGGAATACTTTTGCTGAAGTCTCTGCTGCCATAATTTTATTATTAATAAGTTAGCTCTTAAATTAGTAAATAACTATTGCTGAATATACCACGCCCTCAAAGTTCGATCGAAAACCTAAGAGGATATGCATTTTTATAAGGATCTACACTTGAAAGGGTTTACACTAAGGATCTACAGATGGATATATCATAATAGAATATACTCCTAATATAATATATATACAGAATACCAATATACTCTTTTCACTTTCTAAAAGAGCATAGAAATGGACATGATAGAGCATTTCTGATAGTGTATAGCCTCCGTAAATACTGTGTAAGATAGACCTATTGATTGATATATTACCAGTCCCAAAAGTCCTATTAATAAGCTTATAAAGATCAATCTGTAGACATGTTTAACAGTAGTAGCTCGCCTGCAAAACTCTTGTAAAATATTTGCCCATTTGTCACGCCTCTAATAAGCATAGCTATCAAAGCAAGTCTAGACAAGTATTTACTACTAATTAGCGTTATTGTTGAAAAATAAATTATATACGCTAGGCGTATCAAAAACTCGCTAATCAGCTTATAAGCTAATATACAAAGACATGCAACAAATCAAACACACAGTCAAATCAGAGACTGCAGTAAAGCTAATACACCCTCTTTTCGTATCACAATGCCCATAAATTGTGAGCAATGCAAAAAGAATGAAGAAGAAGCAGCAGGAAAGAAAACATATGACAGGCACTTTGGTTAAACAAAATGCCAGAAAATTATTGGCACTTCATCATGCCAGCTCTCTATGTATATATGAAAATATACGTATATATATATATATATATTTATGTATTCATCATAATTACAATCATTATGATTATAATGAGCTACTTTCGATCAGCCGCAAAATGTGTCGAGTATACCTATGCATATAGGTATACATATATATATGTATATATATATCTGGCAAGCACAATTTATACGCTCAGATTTACGCCAATCTCTGGCATCCGTAAATAATCTGGCAATGAACCAACTGGCAGAAGCCAAACCTCACACACATTACTCAATCTATATATATATATATGTATATCTAGTATATATATCATCTATATATATACAAATATATCAACTTAGTTAGCCTAGACAGCAGGGCACTGCTGGCAGCTATTGGGCAGGTGGCAAAAACTATTTGAAATTAGCGCAAATTAAGTGTCTAAGGTTCGAATGGGCTACACTTGTTGAGAGCGCGATCGATGTGTTGACGATATAATTTATTGTTAGTCTTGTCGAGTGTAAATCAAAGCAAAACTAATTTTGCTAGGTTTACGCAATAGTTCGACAGTTAATCAGTAAAACTTATCTACTGCGAGATAATGTGTCAAGTAGATTTAAGCGAAAATCAATGAATTTTGCAATGCTTATCGATTATATATTAGCAGCTGTCAGTTTCATAAAATTATCGATAGATATATGACGATTTTGTCACTAATTTTGCATAATAACTTGTCTTCTTTATTGCATACCCATCATACTATATATAACAATTTATCGATACTTATCGATAGCAATTGCACTTAAATGCAAAGCAGATTTAAGGCTTTGTTTTCATTTAGCAAAGTCAATTGTTTATAGTTCATTTGCCGTCTATTGTTAGCTACCATTAATCGATATTTATCGCTTTGCTTTTTTCGATTTACAAATATGTTCGCATATATTTGTTTTTCCACAAGAAACGTTTTATAATTGTTTTATGATGTGTTTACACATGCTCCACACGATTTAACGTTGCGCGAATGCAGCAAAATTTATTTGCGTCCAATTAAAATTGCCACAGCTTTACGATTTTCATTCCTCCATAAATATATAGATCTATATATACATATATACATATACATATCTATAAATCTTTTTTGTAGTGCTTCATTTCTTTTTTTGTGTGTGTGTTTGTGGCTTTTTTCGCTTGAGCGATTTTTCTTTATGCAAATGGAAAACTGCGAAAAACTCTTTTGATCTTTTTCTCATTTTCCCGCTCGCATTTTTTGCTGTTGATTGAAAACTTTTTACTCGTGCGGCATTTGTTTATACGAAATGTGTTCTGCGTTTTTCAATTTCATTTTCATTTTCATTTTTATGTTGTGTTTGTTTTTCTGTTTTTGTTTCGGGGTTTTTCATTGCTTTAGACTAATTTCAACAAATAGATTGCAAAATAAATGTTGAACGGAAGAGCTCGTAAATTTATCGACCTGTCACACTTTTAAGGCGAACAAAAATTCGATTTATTACTTGGAAAAAATAGAGAGAGCAAATAAATTTATTTATTTTTGGAAATTTGTATTTTTATTTGTTGCTCTTAATATCAGCTGAATTTTGATAGCTCTGGAATTGTTTTAATTGCTTTGAGTTGAGCGGGAATGTTTTCAGTGTTTTTTTTATGGGGGCACATAAATTGCTTAAATATATGTACATTTTTATTTAAATTAAATTTGCTTTTATATGTTTTGTAAAATATTTGTTATGAGAGAAATTTCGTAAAATTTTTATTTATATTGTTTCTTTTTTTTTTTTTTTTTTTTTTTTTTTAAATTTTTCCTAATTTTGTAAAATTTTTTTTTTTTTTTTTTTTTTTTTTTTTTTTTTTTTTTTTTTTCTTAAATGTTTCACAATTTTGTATAAATAGTGTACATAGCAAGGATAAAGTATTAAAAATATACTTTTTAGGGTTTTTTTACTCATCGGAATTGCTTTTTGTACCTCTAGCTAGACTAGCTTAAGACTAAATCTTTGTTGTTCAGGGTTTTATATGCTCTATAAACAAACAACTAAAGAGCTTCAGCTTAAGACTTTTATGAAGTGCATAGGAATATGCGCCAAGTGCTATATGGGGAGCACACGCACAAAACAGACACACACACACACACACACACACACACACACTCATTGCTCTTACAATTAAATTAACTCGCGCTTAGTCAAACTGTCTGCTTTACTTTGTGCATGAGCTCGTATATATATTAGTATGCATATGCATATGCAAAGCTAATTTGCTTAATCGAGCTAATCAAATGTTGTCGCAAGTGCGTGTCTGTGTGTGTATATGTGTGTATATGCATGTCTGTGTATGTGTGGGCGTTAGGGACTGCAGCCTTTATCTAAAGGTGCGAGCTGTCTGTCAGCTCAGAGTTGTTGTTGTTGTTGCTGTTGTTGTTGTTGTTGCTATTGTTGCTTTAGCTTATTGAGCTAACCATTGAGCTGTGCCATCGCTGCTGTGGGAGCCCAAGCAGCTGTCCAGCATTGTTGCAGGCAGTTAACCCAGGCAGCCCCTAAAGCACAGCAGTTAAAGAGTTGCAAATAGACACACACAAACATATACATATATATTTTGTATATACATGTATTTAGTCAGCTTTAGACGGCGGCACTTGGGTTGCCGTTGCCGTTGCCATTGTCGTTTTGTTGCTGTTGTTGTTGTTGTTGTTGTTGTTGCCCTCGTCGTCGCGTTAGTCGTAAAATGCAAATTGCATGCAATCAACGCGTTTTTTTTTTCGTTTCGTTTAATTATTATGAGAATTTTTTCGCTTGGCACGGAACGTGCCAAGTGCCCAGGCCATGCACAACAGCAACAACAACAACAACAACAGCTAGAGCCGGGGCAAAGTTGTTGTTGTTGTAGGCTGTCCCCTCGATGCGGCTTGCCCTGCGTGTGAGTGTATGTATGTGTGTGTGTGTGTGTGAGTGTTGGCCTTTGTGTCTGCGTTTGTTGTCCACTGTCTGTGTCCGCCTCTGCCGCTGTCGCTGCCTCTGCCTCTGCCTCCACCTCTGCCTCTGCTCCTGCTGTAGCCTTAGCAATTCGAGCCGATTCGCAGCGCCTCGCCCTAGGCTGCCATTTTCAATTAAATTACCCAGCATTTTGGCGTAAATTGCCAGCCACACACACACACATTCATTTAAACACTCGAGTCTGTCTGTGTGTGTGTGTGTGTGTGGGCGCACACTTTCAGTGGGCAGTGTGTGAAATAAATTCCATACCTAATTAATTTGCATTATTTATGATGTACAAATGCAAACAAGCAGAGCAACGACAACGAGTTGAGGGCGAGAAAGAGACAGTGAGAGGCAACGAGATATTCTATCCACAATCAAAGTGGGCGGGGAGGGGCGGTAGGCTAGCCTATGGTTGTAGTAGGCTTAGCATTAAGTAGCACTTGCCCGAGTACAATTTGTTGGCTTTTTGGGTGGCCCAACAACAAAATTAGCATACAAAGCACAGCAACAACAGCAGCAGCAACAGCAGCAACAACAGCAACAACAATTGCAACAACCATCAGGTCAGGTTTGCCACGTGCTTAGCATACATATGTATATGTATATTGTATATATTTCAAACAAAAACAATTTGTTTTTTATTTTGTGTTTTCGCTTTAAATTTATTTTCGCAATTAATTGAAATTTAGCAGCCATTCATTTGGTCAGTCATTCATTCATTCATTCACTCACTCACTCATTCATTCAGTTGACAGCGGCCACCGCAGGCATTTATTTGCTGACGTCTATTTTTGTCGAGCCAAAGACATTGAACTCAATGTGGGCGGCTGTTTAAAATGCATATCAAAATATAATTATTAAAAAAACAATATATGTATATATGTATATATGTATTTGCTTACATATATACATTCATAATAATAACAATAATTATCAGCATCAATTTTGCGCTGAGCAAAACATTTTATGTTATTTATTTTTTTGTATTATTATTTTTTAGCTTTTTGCTAACGCTGAGCATTTTATTTTTAACCCCCTTTTTTTAGCATTGCGCAAAATAATTGAAAATTAATTAAAGCTGAAATAAGTCTAAGGCCTGAACTTAAATGAATGTTATTTATAATTCCATATATAGCAGCTAATGTAAAATAATGCACAAGTAATCAGAAATAATTGGAGATTGTAGAGTGTTTTTAATAGACTCTGCTTAAGCTTTGCGAGTTTATTAATATACTTACTAATTCTTCTACGAATTTTGTCTATGTATAAGCTCAAAATATATTCAATCTAAGTTTCTCTTCCAAGTATCTCCTCTAAGTTCTTCTTCGAAGTATTTTCTCTAAATATGTCTCCTAGGGCTTTCCTCTTGGTGATTTTTCGAAAGGTTTTTTTGTCAATGCAAAATTGATTTATATTAACACTAAGATGGGATTATTATTTTATTACATTTTATCCACTCTATTAACACTAAGATGGGATTCTTATTACATTACATTTTATTCATTCTACTAAACCAATATACTGTCCAAGAAAGCTGTTCTGCTGAATCATAATCTGCTGTATTCATAGAACATCTATCCCACATATCCTCTGCTGCCTCCAGCTCTTTCTCTCTCTCAACAAACGTATGACTATGCCATCTAACGTCTGCCTCTCTCTCTCTCTCTCGCTCTCTCTCTCTCGCTCTCTCTCTCTCTCTCTCTCTCTCTC